TCTGAAGGATAACAGAGTTAATAACCTAATCTGTGGCTTGTGAGATAATGCAGGACAGGTTGCTTGCCAACTGCAATTGGGATTAGCAGTCACTAGGTGACAACTGTGAAGAGTTGCCACAGCAAGTTGTCCCACAGCAAGTTGACCAGGGCAAGCTGGTTTCGGTGAGTTGTCCTAGATGTCTCTGAGAAGCTTTGTATTTCAATTACTTTAGCTTCTTATTCCTACAGCTTTTGCCTGTCTTCCTATCCATCCATTCAGATGAAAAGGAAGCAGTTTGTGAGGAAACAAGTCCAATTTTAATCAAGTCCCCTTCCTTTTGTGTTCTGGGTCTTGTTCCTTTCACAAGGCTATCCTTATTTTGAGCTTTCCTACAGCATCATTTCTGTCTGCTCTTGACATGTAACAAGTCAGGTTTTTGACTGCTATGAAACATCAGAAATGCTTTAAAGATTGGGCAAATCTGTTCAGTAAAAAAAAATCTCTTTGTTTGACATAAATGGTAAATTGCTAATTTTCTGCCATTGCTTAATTTTCAGTCTGGTTTTTTGAAGAGAAGCCTCTTTAGTTCTGTAGCTTTCTGCTGCCAGAAACTGCTGAAGCGCAACCACTGCCAATTTAATATTATTCTGTTCCAACAGGAAATTTAAACCAATTGTTTTCATCGTTTGTTGCTGACTCATGAAGTCCTTGGAGCTAACCTTGGTTTATTCTCCCGCAAATAGTGGTTTTTAACATTCTATACTGCATACATGAATAACATTTAAGCACTTTCTTCTCTTTATCTATTTGTGTGTATGTGTAGTTAACCCTAACAACAGCAGTATGCTGATGAATATCTCTCCAAAATGATCCATGGCATTTTTTTCTGACTGATTATGTACTGGCCATTCCTCTAGAATCCAGGGCAATGTTTTTAAACCTCAGCAACTTTAAGATGTGTGGACTTCAAGTCCCAGCATACTGACTGGGGAATTCTAGGAACTGAAGTCCACATGTCTTAAAATTGCCAAGGTTGAAAAACATGATCTAGGTCACTGCAGTAAAAAAATGTAATGCATATGCATTACTGCCAATTTTTATTTTTATTGCACAAAGGGAAGTTAGCCCTTTTGTTGGTTGAAAGACTGGGTATATTATTTTGAAGAAAATAAGGTAATATTTTCTTCAAAATAAGGGCATGAGATACACATTTATTAGATTGAGATTGAATTAAGGCCCAAACTGGAATTGAGAAGGATGATCGCTTCTGTGCTTTATATATTGAAGGTCTTGCTAAAGGAAAAGCTATAATTGTTGATAAATTAATAAGTTAGTTTGAGTTGGCATATAAGGAATTAACTAGGGACCCCTAAGCAGCCATTAGCAAAACCACTCTTTATACTTTCTGTGCTGCTTGGTCTAGTTTGTTTCAATTTCCCTAATCTTGTGTTGTGTAGATATATTGATCTCCACCTAGATGACTGCCATATTGGCTGGAGAATATATGAGAATATATGCGTGTGGTTGGGGAAAGCTGATTTGGTGAGTGGACAGGATGAAGTTTATGAAGAAAGAGAGATATCAGTATCCTGAGCCATCTTGAAAATTATCACTGAAATGTTAAACGTGGCACTAATTGGTTACAGTGTAATTCTCCTGACAACTCTTAATGGATACTGAAAGGTCCATTCTTTGTCAGATATGACCCAACAGAGCTGCCATCCTTCCTTGATAATTAATGCATCCTTTCTTTCTACTGTACTGTATTGCCTCTAGGTGGTGCTTGTGCATCATTTTGTTTTACTTTTAGTTGTTACTACTAGCAACAGCTAGATGAGATAAGCAGCAAAAGCCAAGATTTGTTGCATATGAAGATTTTGCTTGCACACAGAGAATTATCTATATAATGGAAAAACACAAACACCTCTATTTATGAAGTGAAGCCTGCAAGGTTTAGTTTACTGAGTACATCTTCTAGAGAGTCCTGGTATGCTCTGGGAAAATGTCATATGTGAAAATGTCTTCTGAGAAGGAAGACCGTTTCACAATAAAACTTTGAAAGGATGACATTTGATGAAAGTCTTTTTTCTGAATATGTTGATCTAGGCAACGTGCTTAAAACAGTTCAGAAAACTTGAAAGGATTTTCACCAAGAAACAAGAATAGTAAGAGAATATACTGTGGCAATTGAAGAGCCAATACAGTGTGGTGATTCAAACATAGAGCTGGGATGAAGGCAGATTTAATTGAACCAATAGAAGAGAACATATGCAGCTCAGGACTGAATTGTGGAGTCTTTGGTGCTCTCTGACATTTTGTTACCTGACCAGTTAATTTTTTTCAGTTTTAAATCTTTACCCAGGTCATATCTTCAGTTCAAATCTTTATTTGGCTTAAGACTATTCATTCTCTTTCAGGCTCATAAACCTCACAGCTGTGTTTGATAGAAATTTAAAATTACAATGTAATTTTACAGCATATCTGAATAAATCTGGATGACCTCTTGTTGGCAATATACATAAGAAAATGGCAGTTCAGATATTAAAATGAGAAAGGGAAACTTGTACAACCGTAGAGACACTGTTCTCAGATCTTCAAGGAATGTTCATGAGCATCCCTATTATTCAGGGAGAAGACTGATAGTATGTTTACAATGCAATTGTTAAAAGCTATTATTTTACTAAGATTAAAACTAGATACCAAATTAATGGTGCAATCAGAAGACTGAAAAATTACCCTGGACATCAGAGAAGCTGAGACAGAAACCTGCAGGCAAGGAGGTTGAATATAGAGTAGGCAGTAGACTGGAAAAATAGAACCCTAAAGGAAAGGTAAATGAAAGAAACACTATAATTGAATTTAAAATATTTAGTTTAACCAGCCAACCAATTTTTACTACTAGAGGTTTCTAGCGTATAGAAAAATAGCGCTGTTAAATTCACAATAACTCACCTAGTCTAATTTACATAGAGGTGAAAGATACATAATTTTACTTTGCATCTTTTTTTCATGGAAGTTGATTCTTGCTAGTACCATTTATTCTTAGTGATTCTCTATCTTGCCTAAGTATTCGAAATGGCGAGATTTTTCCCCCTGAATTCTGTATATTCAGTTGTTTAAATCTGAAAATAGTTCTGTGATTTGCAGGGAATTTGGCAAGCTAAAGTATTGAACCTAAAGAAGAGGGAATTAAAATGGATTTTTGATCAGAAGAAACCTCCATACAAATGATTGTAGCCCACTTGCACTTTATTCTGTATAATTTTTCTCTCTGTAGATACCCCCAAGAACAAACTCTTTTGTTTTCGGGAAATAAATAGATCAACCTTCTCTCTACCACCAGTGTGCCTTGTCTCTTATTTACGTGTGTTCTCGCTGTTCGGAGAAAGGGACCCAGAAAAATTCTGTTAATAATAATTGAAAAGCATTCTAGTTCTTGCTTGCTTATTTGTTCAGGCTGCTAGAAGATATGTCTATTAATTTCAGCTATGTTTCCATATTTATACATTTAAAGAATATGGAGCCATGCTTTAAAGAGGTATGTTTATTTTATTCTCCCTTTCCACTTAACTGCTTAAAGTAATGAGCAGGTTATCTGAAGACCATAATCTAGTCATCATTTGAATTAGAGGACTAGTTTGAATCGAAAACATCCTTAAGAATACTAAACTAATTTTCCCTATTTATACATGTTATACAAAGCCAGAAAAAAGAATTACCAGAAAGGTTAATGTTCTTTCTGCATGGAGAATGAACTTAAAGCAATGGAGTAGAGCTAGGAGCCATGCAGGACACTCCATCGCTCTGATTATTTTCCACACACTCCTTGTGGCCATATGGGGCAGATCTATAAAATATGAGTAGAAAGGAATCTTGATGTGACTATACAGACTTTTTATTTACAATAAAAACATACATGCACATATATATCTGGCAGACTGTGAAAGCTTCTTAGCCAGGCTTCCTACTAAAATGGCTGTCTCTTTTAAACAGAGTATGCTGCTACCCAAGGATATGAACAGACTAGCCACACTAAACCTAGTTAATAAACCATTCAGAAAAAGCTGGATCCAATATCCAGACAATGAAATACAAATGTTTTATTCAAAGACTAAACTGCAGCTGCCATGTTGGAGTTAAATATTCTGTGTCTTTATGTCCATAAAATGTGTCTTTCCATAATGACTGAATGAAAAGCCAGATGTTCCCTTTTAGAAACTGACATAACTAAGTTTAGACCTCAGGAGCATATTCTAGAGAGCTCTATTTTAGCCATCCAGAAAGTAGATATATAAGGGGACTGAGAGAAAAATATATATATAATTGTCTGCAAGACATCACAGGACAGGACAGGTCAAGATTGAGAGACTCCCTCAAAGTCCTTTTTAAATTTTTTTTTAAAAAGCATTTTACAGTCAGTAAGTGGCCATCGGCTATTAGCTGAGTAAAGTTACAAGTTGGATGTTTGCAATTAGAAGCATTAACCCTAAAAGTAACGGTAGGTTTTAATGACAAGTTTTGTTGCTTATTTGTTTTGTCTATTATTTCTCTATATTGGATTTTGGGCACTGAGTCTTTTAGGTTTAGGAACCACAGTTTGCCTTTGGCCTTTGATTATTGCACTGAGCACTCAAAAGTATGAGCCTGGGACAAAAATTAATTTTCATTTTACTGACATTTGACTTATCAATTTATCTTTAGTCATATACTTGATATTTTCCTCCCCCCCCCCCATTAAAAATAAGTACTGAGTAACAATTTAGGGAGGACTATGGAGTCTGAATTTAAGGCTTGGGTGGAGATGACTATTAAAAGAAAGGGAGGGGGAGGAAGAGAAAGGCAATATTTAACATCAGAGGAACAATGCAGAGTGGATTGAATACCATATTCTTATCATTTACTGATTGTCACTATGTACCTATTTACCTTGGCATGTTCTTTTTTTCTTTGGAGGCATTGGACTGTGTCAGATATTTCTTTGACCCACCTCTCCGTGACCATTCACTTGCATACTTTCCTCCTTGCTGTTAACATTAAAGCCTTTGTGCTTAACATTTCACAAGGAATCAAGTGCTATGTCAGCCGTAGCCTTCAAACTGGCCAGGGAAAAGGCCATCCTAGATGGCCTAGGATCCAGTGGAAATATTGTAAAATACTTAAACCAGGATTTTGAGGCCCTGAAAAGGCAATGTTTGCATTCTGGGACTCTCTTCAAAGATGAACAATTTCCTGCCTGCCCCTCTTCTCTTGGCTATAAAGAATTGGGACCTTATTATTCCAAAACTCAGGGGATTATTTGGAAACGACCCCAGGTAAGATTATTGTTTCTGTTGATAATTTGCTGATTTGAAATGACATTTTGTTTGCTTCAAAGAGTCGCCTTCAAATTCAAAACAGCTGTACTGTTTTAGGAAATCTCTGAACCTTGGGAAAAGGCTTGTTTTAATATTTCTGCAACAACTTTTGCCTTGATCAAATAGGTTTAATTTGGGTTGAACATGATGAAGCTTCTATATGCAGAGTTTGTTCTTGGAAAGTTGCTTAGTGTGTCAATCAAAACATCTGAAAATCTTTGGAAAGACAGCATATCTTGAATTAAGGGATGATCATTTTATTGCGTGGAATTATAACTCTGAAAATAATCAAAGTTTATTTTGTTCTATGGTCTGTAACTATCTGGAATAAGGGCCATCTGACAACATTCACCACTGAAAATGACCGGAAATTTATTCTTTTAGGATTTCTTTCTGTGCTCCAGGCATTTCTGAGGCAATTCTAGTCAAATAGAGTTGAAGTATTTTAGGGGTAATAATAGCTTCAGTGTGCCTTCACTAAATGAGAATGGGTTACCATGTTTATTATGGTTCCTTGCCGTTTTCATAGATTTTGTCATATAATTCCATTGTATCTTTGTCCATTAATATCAGATTTGCAACAACCTCCCTACTTTTAAACAGTAATTATTATAATTTTTTTCTTAAATGAATATTTTCCATGCAATAAATATTAAATAACTACTTTCCATTAAAGCATGAATTCAAATACATACAATATTTCCTCTCCATAGAACTGCTGAGATCTTAATCATTAATAGTCAGAATTTGGAAAGCTATTTCAGAACTGCATTTAGATTGCTCTAGATTGGTTCCAGAGTTCCAGAATAGTTCATCTTAATGGACTTCTCACTTGTCCCGTTTTCAAAACCACCAGAAATGGAAAATAGCTTTTAAAAAACTTATTTATTATTAAGAATGATGAAAACATTACAAATGACATTTTTTTAAAAAAAACAAACATTTTCTTCTTTTTAATCCACAGCTACACTATTCAAAATTTGATTTCATTTTCTTTCCTTTTTACAATCCACATGAACAATCTTGCAGGTATCTGTAACAATTCAGTACAGAAGCCTTAAGTACCTGCATTATGTTGGATATTATATATATTTTGTGCTATTTATTAATATATAATGTCAGCAGCTACTTTCAAACTTGTGCACAGTAATTGTGTGCTTTTTTTTACCTCCAGCTGAATTGTATAACTGATGTTTCTTAAACTTCTCTATAAAGTTGAATACATTTCCCGATATACAGAGAGCATTGCCAAAAGTAAAATGAAAGGGAAAGGCTTCAAAGTCTTACTCATGCATAAGCAGTGATCCTCTATAAGCAATACAATTTTATTTATTACTAAACGATCATTTGAAAGTCATGTACTCTCCATTCACTTGATAATAGTTCAGAACAGGGGTGAAATCTACTTACCTTCCATACCGGTTCGGATGTGCACGAGCCATGTGCAGGCGCTTGCTCCCCTCACACCTGTGTGCACATCACACACATGCACAGACCCTCTGTGCATGCGCAAACCCTTCTGTGCATGCACAGAGGGTAAAAAACAGGTTACTTTCTGGTTAAAACTAGGAAGTAACGACGATCGGGCGGGCCTCGCGCTGCCGTCACTACCAGTTTTCCGAACCACCCGCCGCCATTGCTACCAGTTCGGCCAAACCAGTCCAAACCGGTAGCATTTCACCCCTGGTTCAAAAACAATGATAATGAAAATATGGAGTCCTTGGTGCTTCACATTTTTCTGATGTTTCTTAAAGCTCTCTGAAATTTTGAATACATTTTCAGATTTACAGAGTGCATTGCCAAATGCCAAAGTGAAGGGCGAAAGCTTCAAAGCCTTACTCGTGGATAAACAATGAACTTCTATAAACAATAATGCATATTTTATTTATTATTAAACAATCATTTGAAAGTCACATGTTCTTCATTTACTTGATAATATTTCAGAAACAAGGAACATGAAAATGTGGATGATAATAATCATGCAATTGTTTTCTGAAGGGGGGAGGAAATGAAAGGTAGTGAGATTCTAGTTTCAGTATTAAAATTATTGCTAGAAAGAATAATCTATTTGTTGTTTGATTTCTGAGTTAAATTTGTCCATTTTCTAAGAATGCAGTAATAATGAAGACTATCATAACATTTGCAATTGTAGAATAACTGTTTTCAATGGTAGAATTACTCTCATTAGGATTTTCTTAAACCTGAATAACTGGCAGTAGAACCATTTTTTTTGACTATGCATGCTTCACTGATCAATAAATTGGATTTGAGGCTTGTATTAAAAACAGCTTCTCTTCCCTGATAACTGCCCCTTCCGTCAGGTGTGTTTGATTTCAATATCCATAGCAATTCAGTCAGCGTGGTCAAACATGGATATGTAATTGCTCCTTGTCTTGAATAAGAGAGAGAGAAAATAAAACTGACAATGAGGCACTCATTCTGTGCCTCTTGGCCCACTGTGGAATTAGGGTTCACAGTGTAAAATTTAGAGGTAGGTAGGGATCCTGTATCCAGTTTTGGTCACCACATTATAAAAAAGATGTTGAGACTTTAAAAAAAAGTGCAGAGAAGAGCAACATATGATGTAGCTCAGTTGCAGGAATTGGGTATGTCTAGTGTAGTAAAAAGAAAGACAAAGGGAGACATTATAGCAGTGTTCCAATATTTGAAGGGCTGCCACAAAGCACCTGAAGGCAAGACAAGAAACAACAGATGGAAACTAATCAAAGAGAAATCCAATCTAGAATTAAGAAGAAATTTCCTAACAGAACAGTCAAACAGTGGAACAGCTTGTGTTCAGAAGTTGTCCAGTGCTCCATCACTGGAGGCTTTTAAGAAGAGACTGGACAGCCACCTGTCTGAAATAGTATACGGTCTACTGCTTCAGCAGGGGCTTGGACTAGAAGACCTTGAAGGTCCCTTCCAACTGTGATATTCTATGTTCTGTGTTCTACCTGAGCATCATCCTTGTTGCTTCATCTCCCATTTGAAAGTGGATTTAATTGAACAACAGGGGAAATTGAAAACAAAACAACAATTGGAAATAGACCTAAACAGAGAAATCGACTGGTGGACTTTCACACAGATCCTATCTAAACATAAGGAACACACAAAAATACACGAAATATATAGAGAAAAACAAGAACTAGATAAAATTATATTAGAATCAGAAGAGAAGTTAATTAGTAAACTTTATAAATTTTTGTTGCAATATAAAATGGAGGAGGAAACAGTGAAGGATACGATGATTAAATGGATGCAAAATTTTAAATACACAATAGATTTGGAAAAGTGGGAAGAGCTATGGCAAATGAACATAAAATTAACATTAGTGGTGGCATATAAGGAAAACCAGTTGAAGATGTTCTACAGATGGCATATGTCGCCCAACAGACTGGCAAAAATTAACCCGAAAAATAGCGCATTATGTTGGAAATACAAGAAATCACAAGGTACCTTTTATCATCTATGGTGGACATGCCCGGCAGCAAAGAAATTTTGGTCTAATATTAAGAAATGGTTGGAACAAATAACAAAACTACAAATAGAGAAGAAACCAGAAACCTTCCTGCTAGGAATTTTCACAAAAACATATCCCAAAGAGATAAAATATTTATTTATTTATTTATTTGTTTGTTTCCATTTCTATACCGCCCTTCTCCAAATAGGACTCAGGGCGGTGAACAGCCAAACTAAAAAACAGAACATACAAAATTTAAAAACAGTTTAAAATAATTAAATATTTTGGCCGTAAATTAAAACAACTCAATTTAAAATCAATTTAAAATTTAACTCAAGCCAGCCGAGCTAGTTGAAATAAATAGGTTTTCAGAGCCCAACGAAAAATCCGGAGGTCTGTTATTGTACGTATCTCTGGGGGGAGGTTGTTCCAGAGGGTGGGCGCCGCCACAGAGAAGGCTCTCCCCCTGGGGGTCGCCAGCCGACATTGTCTGGCAGACGGCACCCTGAGGAGGCCCATACTTGATGATACACATCCTAATGGCAGCACGAATAACATATGCAAAAAATTGGAAACCGGAAAAAATCCCAACGGAAGAAAAATTAATAGACAAAATCGTACAATGTGCTGAAATGGATAGATTAATGAAAGAAATTAAGGAAAAAGAAGAGACAGATTATTATAGAATATGGAATAAATAGTATCAATGGCTTAACACCATCAACAAAGAAACATAACTATAAGAAGTACAAAACAAAGATGTAAATATGTATATAAATAATTCCTTATAGGTATATAAATATGAATATGGAAATCCCCCCCAAAAAATGGTATAATTAAAACACATAGGGCTCTAAAGGGGGAAACCCAAGGAAAAAAAGGAAAAGGAAAGGAAAATAGAAGAGAGAGGAATAGGGAAAAATTACTAGGCTAAGGAAAAGGGGAAGAAATACAATAGTATCAGTTGGAAAACCACTATGAAACAATGCTTATAAAGAATAATTTATCTTTATGTTGTACGTTGTGTAAATGTTTTTTTATCTTTATGTCGTATGCTGTGTAAATGTTTTATTTATGTTTTAATAAAGTTTATATATATATATATTTTAAAAAGAAAGCTGTTGTGCATGTAATAGTATGGGTAAAGGCTTCTTGCTGCAGACATGAGCACTAAACTGAGTGTATATTGTGGCTAATGTTGCTAAAGTAGCATTGGTGGGTGGGGAAGAGTTATTTAAAACCCTATATGGCTCAGGGCCAGGTTATCTTCGAGACCGCCTTCTGCCGCATAGCTCCCAGCGACTGGTAAGATCCCACAGAGTTGGTCTCCTCCGGGTCCTGTCAGCTAAACAATGCTGGCTGGTGGGCCCGCGGGCGAGGGCCTTCTCTGTGATGGCCCCAGCTCTCTGGAACCAGTTACCTCCTAAGGTCCGGACCATCCCCACCCTATTGGCCTTCTGAAAAGCGGTGAAGACCTGGCTTTTCTGGCAGGACTGGGGCCGTTGATCTCGCTCTTGTGATCTGGCGAGATCCGGCCATGAATGGCGTGAATGAGTTTTTAATGTTTTTAATGTTTTTAATTTTTAAATGTTTTTTATAATGATTTTTAAAAAATGTATTGTGAGCCGCCCTGACTCTTCGGAGAGGGGCGGCATATAAATTGAATTAATTAAATTAAATTAAATTGAATCTGGAGTTTATTGAGTAGTCTGAATAATAAATGCCCAACTGGCTTAGGTCTCTCTTGAAAGTACATTGATTCCCTTCAAAATCTGATAACTCACTTAGATTAGTGTGGATCTAATCTTTCTGTTCTCTACAATTGGGGATTTCAGTCTTTCTTTTGAAATTATTCCATCCAGGCTTCTTTTTGTCCCCAACAGTCTACTATAGTGATGGCTAACCTTTTTGCCGTCGCGTGCCAAAAGCGGGTGTGTGTGTGTGTCACGGGGGGTGTCACACATGCGTGTGCCCACACCCATAATTCAATATGCCCCCCCACACACATTCTGAAGTCGGCAAACGGGCCGTTTCCGGTCTCCAGAGGGCTTCAGGGGGTGGGGGTGGGGAAGACCGTTTTCACCCTCCCCAGGCTCCTAAAAAGCCTCTGGAGCCTGGGGAGAGCAAAAAACGGGACTTCCAGATCCACAGGAAGTCAGCAAGTGGGCCGTTTCCAGCCTTCGGAGTGGGGGGGTGTAGGGAAGGCCATTTTCACCTTCCCCAGGTGCCTAGAAAGGCTCTGGTGGGTCTGGAAGACCCGAAAATCAGCTGGCTGGCGCGCACATGTACACCGGAGTTGAGCTAGGACAACTCTTGTGTGCCCACTGATATGGCTCCGTGTGCCACCTGTGGCACGCTTGCCATAGGTTCACCATCACGGGTCTACTACATAGTATGCTTTTCAATTCGAATGGTACACAATATGCTCAGAGAAAGAGCAATTTTTTCCTGGTTTTCTATCTGATCCCTAGTGGAGAATCTTGTATGGATAAGATTAAAACTTTAGCAGACTTTTTGTATGTGATTTTAAACATTAAAATTAGAAATCGTGTATGTATGTATGTATGTATAGTAGAAAGTGTACATATGTTGTTAAATTGATGTTTGTTGCGCTGGTAGAAGATTCAACTGAATAGTAATTCAATTTCAGTTGTGTTCTGTGTGTTTCATTTTGGATATTCCTTTCAATTATTTCTTACAAAAGAATGAATAATAGTACTATCAGTTTCATGAATTGTAGCAAGAAATGGATTACTCTTCAAATATGTAGAAAAGTGGAATAATTATTATGCAGTTTTACTGTCACCACACTAAGGGCAGAACTTTGGGGCTACAAAAGGAGGAGAAGGCAGGGCTGTGGATGCAACCATTAGAATGGTCACTCTGCTTAGTAAGCATATCATCATTTCACAAACACTGCTCAGGTCACAGGTGATAGGGTACACAGTACTTTTGTATTCTTATTTTTTTTAAAATAGTTTTCACCATTTCTATGAGCTGTTAGGGAGATAAATCATCTTTCAAACATGTTGGCATATATAGCATCCTACAAAAGTCTACTCTACTTTAAGCAGTCTTTGATACCAGTGTCCATTTCAGCGATTGGACTACAGCAAGTCCCCTTTGTCCAATGGTTTGCACTCTCAGCAAGGACCACAGTTTTCAGTAATCATTCTGTCTCACTGCATAGTAGATAAAAACCAAGAGTCCCCTTTTCAAGGTTGAAATAAATGTTTAGTGAATCATTGGATTTGTAGGAAGAACTCAAACTTGGGGAACAACCACAGGTGAGGGAGGCTAAAACATTTTAATTGAGTTTTTCTTCTGTGAAAGTGTAAAGAAATGTGAGTGACAAAATCCAATTGTAATGTTCATCCATCATTTTCAGGAACTGGTCCCAAACCCCCAGTTCATTGAGGGAGGAGCCACTCGTACAGATATTTGTCAGGGGCTTCTGGGTGAGTAAAGCAAAGCCACTTTTTCTCTCTCTTTTCAGGGAAGAGGGAACTGCCACATACTTCGAACTGCTGTGTGCTGCAATCAAAAAACAAACATTCAAATAGTAAATAAATGCATTATTTTGTTTGATGACTCAAACACGATAAACATGGAATAACAATGTGAAATAAGTTTAAACCTTGACTTTATTGCTTATTTTGTATGTGTCTCAGTGATTAGTGATTGAAACAAAAAGCAATTCTTTGTCAGCTTACCTTTTGGTAACATATTCTTTCAAACTTAAGACAGAATACTTAATGAAAAGAAATACAGTCAGACTGTCTCCAGGATCTTAATTAATTAAACTTTATTTCTTCATCAGTAGGAAAAAACATTGAACTTAGCTTGGAAAGCTTTCAAGGGAGCTTTAAAATGTAGAACATTTTCTACTTTTGTAAAAGAGCATATATACAATAGGTCTGTGATGGCGAACCTATGGCACGCGTGCCACAGGTGGCACGCGGAGCCATGTTGCCTGGCACACCAGCTCAGCTCTGGTGCACATGCCCGCGCCGACCAGCTGATTTTTGGGCCTTTTGGGCCCACCAGAAGTAGGGAAACAGGCTGTTTCCTGCTTCCGGAGGGCCTGGGGGGGGGGAACGCCCATTTTTCTCACCTGGCTCCAGATCCTCTCTATGCATCTGGGGAGGGCGAAAACAGCCTTCCCCAACTCCTCGGAGGCCCTCTGGAGGCCCGAAATGGCCCGTTTCCCAACTTCTAGTTGGACAGGAAGTGATGCTTTTTGCTGTCCCCAGCCTCCAGAGACTCCTAGAGAGGCTCTGGAGGCTGGGGACAGAAAAAAGCATCACTTCTGTCCAACTGAAAGTTGGGAAATAGGCTGTTTCAGACCTCCAGAGGGCCTCCGAGGGGTTGTGGAAGACTGTTTTCACCCCCCCTCCAGATGCATAGAGAGGATCTGGAGCCAGGTGAGAAAGAAAAACGGGCCTACCAAGCCATCGTGTGCCAGGAGCGGCGGGGAGGTGGGTCGCACACATAGTATTATGGGTGTGGGCATGTGCGCGCGCGAGCCTCACCCGCCCCCCCCTCCTGGCACGTGATGGCAAAAAGGTTAGCCATCACTGCAATAGGTTATGATTGGCTGATATATATACTTACATCAATGCAAAATAATACAATTTCTGTAAATGTGCATTTAGCCTGCCATTTTTTCTGTGCATTAAAGCTTTCAAATAGCAGGTGATGGGCTTATTTGTTTTAACTGTTGTCTTATCACTCTTATGGCTTCTAACAATCCCCCCCCACACACACATTGCCATTTACACAATACATTTGAAAGCAACTAACAATCTGTGGTAGAAGCTAAATTTCTAGGTAATAAAAGCTAGATGTTTATTTCTTTTTCATGATATACACTATTGGCCCTCAGATGTCAAAATAATTTAGCTTGGCCTTGGTTATTTGGTTACATGACTTTGAGGGAGGAATTGCTCATTTAATCTACATTCATCTCTTTCATAAACTTTGATGTTTCCAGGAGACTGTTGGCTTTTGGCAGCTGTTGCAAGTCTCACCTTAAATGAAGCCATTTTAGAGTGGGTTGTTCCCAATGATCAGAGTTTCCAGAAAGACTATGCTGGGATATTTCATTTCAAGGTACCACTTCTCTTTTAAGCTATATACATCTGGTGATAATACTAAGTTAAAAGGGGTGAAACAGAAAGGAGAAAGTCTGGATAAATCTAGTAACATCATAGAAAAGGCAGAATGCCACCCATCAGATAACTACTACCTTTGTGTTGATATAGTTTATATTTTATCTCATTGACAAGAGTTTCCTTTTCTGTGGAAAGATTATTGTATGAAAAAAAATGGAAAAATAATGAAATAGCTAGAGTGGAAGATCGGATTATAAAATTAACTGAATTTGCAGAAATGGCGAAGCCGACTGCTCTGTTGAGAGAAATACCCTGACCAACGATTTTTGAAAGTCTGGAAAACTTGTGTGAGCTTTTTACTGAAAGAAAAAAAAAACCTGAATTGATTTCTGGATCTGGGAATTAAAAAGGGCCAAAGAAGATGGGGAAAAAGAAAATGATAAGTGTTTGATAGAAAGGAGGGCTGCTGGGGATAACAGTTTCCTTTTCTTTCCTGTTAGTCATATATTGCACTTCCTTCAATGACTTCACATTGCAAATCTAGCAGGTATTTGCACAGAAAGATAAAGTTCTGTAAAAAGATGGCTCATTAATTCCAGTGGTTTTATCAAATGAACTCTTCTTGAAATATTTTCCTTTGGTCTTTTCACTGTATGGGTCTTTTTCTTCTCTTTGTGGCCAGTTTTGGCAGTATGGAGAATGGTTGGATGTTATTGTTGATGACCGGCTTCCCACAAAAAATGGACAACTAGTCTATTTGCACTCAAAAGAACGCAATGAGTTTTGGGGCGCCTTACTGGAGAAAGCCTACGCCAAGTAAGTTGCAGCTAATTCTGAGACTGTTCCCATTAATAGCTCTCAGGATTAGACTATTAATTATAGTTTCCTTGTGAATTGTGTCTAATGCTACCAATGAATCAGCACTTAGTATAATTCAATGCTTTCTGCGCAGTGAACAGTCTTGAGTGGCACTTTGAAGAATAATACATTTATTATGGCATATATTTTCAGGGAATATAGTCTAGGATGAGGGAAAAATTAATTCAGTTCTTGTTGAGATAAGAATTACCAAATTAATATGCAAAAGGGATATTCCACCTTCTCAGAAATTTCTGATGCAGCTTTCTGTGTACAGATATGCATGTGTTAAGGGAAATACACATAAAATGCATTTATTAGTGGGAGGAATATAAAATAGCAATATATTAAGGGCTTTCACATTACTTTGGCATTCACTAAAAAAGGGAAATGGCTAATATCAAAATATTAATGTATTCAGTCCTTAAATCATCTCCCTCTCCCTGGTTCTTTCCTCAGACTAAATTGGACTAGTTTGAAATGGATGCAGAAAATTAAGTAAAATTAAGTCAATTAAGTAAAATTACAAAATTAATCAAATTATAGCATAAGATCCATACTTCCTACTGTAGAACCTTTCTCAAAAATGCAAGTTTGAGACTGGCTGGCAATTATTTAGAATAGCAGTAACCAAAGAAGATTTTTTTAAAAAAAATTAAAAATATGACCTTGCCTATTTCTCTCGCTCTCTTTCTCCCTTCTTTCATTCCTCCCTCTCTTTCAATTTACAGTGAACCCATAATTCAGCCTGCCCTCCTTTAACTAATATGAATATGTCCTTCCTACTAATTTGTTCACATTCTCAAGCAGTATCTATTGAAAATATCAAATATGGGAATAATTGTTTGCCCGTATTGTCACTGTCTTTCTGCTTCTCACTACACCCTGGTATCAGAATGTAATCAGCAATTCAACTAGTCAACAATGTTGATGCAATGATGGCAGAGAAGAAAAAAAACGTTTGCTCTGTTTGCTGTCACAGAATAAACTCTAGACAGGGAGTTAACATGCATTGGCCAGGTCAGCCTAATTTTTCTTCTACCAGCACTCTAATTATCAATTAAATCACTTTATTGCCCTGAGAAATCAAAAGGACCTGTAAAAGGACCTGTATACATTCCTGTAGAACTTATTTAAGACAATCACCCCAGCCAACTGGCTTATCTCTCCATTTTCTAGGTGTTTTCACAAGACTACCAACTCTAATTTTCACAATATTCAGGATTCCTTTAACTTAATCAGAGTTCAGGAACAGAGATTTTATATACCGAGTTGGAAGGGATCCTAGAGGTCTCCTAGAGCAGTCCCCTGCTCAAGCAGGAAACCCTATGCCATTTCAGACAAATGGTTGTACAATCTCTTCTTAAAAACCTCTAGTGTTGGAGCACCTACAACTTCTGGAGGCAAGTTGTTCCACTGATGAATTGTTCTATCAGGAAATTTCTCCTTATTTCTAGGTTGGTTATAGTTTTTGTCCTGCCTCCAGGTGCTTTGGAGAATAGGTTGGCCCTCTCTTCTTTGTGGCAGCCCCTTAGATATTGAAATACTGCTATCATATCATCCCTAGTCCTTTTCGTTAAACTTGCTATTCCTGCAGCTGTTTTTCATATGTTTTTACTTCCATTCCTCTAATCTCTGTTGCTCTTCTCTGCACTCTTTCTAGAATCTCAACATCTTTTTTTTAATATATGTGTATATGTATGTACACACACACACACACACACACACACTCCAGAAAGCTACTTTCTCCCCCCCCCCAAACATATCAATGCGTGAACTGTATGGCACCTGAGTGTCTTACATTTTAGTACAAATAAAATAATGTTTATCATATATATTATGTTTGATAAGCTTATATAATTCTGGTAATATACACATATTTATGTCAAGTTATAATCTTTCATTATTTAATTATTCAGTATTTCAATATGTTATTTTTATGCCAGTCACCATATTCTGAGTGTCATTCCTTTTACTACAAATAAAATATTATTAATCATATTTGTTACATTTAACAAGATTATATGGTTCTACTAATAATACACATATTTATGTTGTTATAATCTTCCATTAATTATTCAATATTTTGATGTTATTTTTATGCCAATCACGATATTATTCAAGCATACTTGATAATACCATCATTCAAATTCTAATTTCCCTTCTTATTACTTCACCTCATTATATAAAAATGTGTATTCCATTACACATTCCCTCTCTAATTTGCATTCCTATTCTAACTTTTAATTTTGCCACTATTATATTTAAAAATATTCTCTTTCTATCCATTGTCTCTTGCTCGCTTTAAAGCTTTAATTGTTCATTTCTTAGCTTGCCTTCCATATTCCTCTCTTGGATCCTTGTCTCTATCTTGACCAATCATTTTAAACAGTTCTCCCTTCTCTGCCCTATTCCACTGTCTAATTTTCAAAATATCTACTCTTGCCCTTATTTCTTTTCCAAAAAAATCTTCCTGCAACTCCAGTTCCTTTTTTAATTCTCTTAAAATACTCTCCCCTCAGCTTATTTCATCAGTCATTGTTGGTTTTGTGGTTATCTCCTTCTTATCATCTCATTTTATTTGTTGGTTTTTCTGTTCTGTTTTTTCATCTACACTTTCAATTGGATCCTCCTCTTCCTGGGCATTTTGGTCACTCCTTATCCTTTGTATCATATTTTCCAGTTCTCCATCTATACTCTGCATTTTATTCATAATCTCCTTGTAGCTTCTTATTTATTTATTTATTTATTTATTTATTATTCGAATTTCTATACCGCCCTTCTCCTTTCGGACTCAGGGCGGTGAACAGCCAAAATAAAAACATTTATACATAAATACGATTAAAAATAGATTTAAAATAATTAAATTTGGCCCATAGTTTAAAATTTATCAATTTAAAATCCATATCAAAATTTAAAACCAACCATAAAATCATAAAATCAAGAGAGACCGGCTAACTGAAAGAGATGAGTTTTTAGGGCCCGACGAAAGGTCCGGAGGTCGGAGATCACTCATATCTCTGGGGGTAGATTGTTCCAAAGGGTAGGTGCCACCACAGAGAAGGCTCTCCTCCTGGGGGTCGCCAGCCGGCATTGTCTAGCCAATGGCACCCTGAGGAGGCCCTCTCTGTGGGAGCGAACTGGCCGGTGGGAGGCTATTGGTGGCAGAAGGCGGTCCTGTAAGTACCCTGGCCCTAAGCCATGGAGCGCTTTAAAGGTGGTCACCAACACCTTGAAGCGCACCCGGAAGTCCACCGGAAGCCAATGCAGCTCGCGCAGGAGAGGAGTCACATGGGAGCGCCCAGTCGCTCCCATAATCCCCCGCGCGGCCGCATTCTGCAGTTGGAGCCTCCGGGTGTACCCCAAGGGGAGCCCCATGTAGAGAGCGTTACAATAGTCCAGACGAGAAGTGACGAGTGCTTGAGTGACTGTGCGTAGGGAGTCCCGATCCAGAAAGGGGCGCAACTGGTGTATCAGGCGAACCTGATAAAAAGCCCCCCTGGCCACGGCCGTCATATGCCCTTCTAAGGACAGCCATGCATCCAGGAGGACGCCCAAGTTGCGGGCCCTTTCCGTGGGGGCCAATGATTCACCCCCAATAACCAGCGATGGCATCAGCCACAGCCACTCGGTCTTGGAAGGGTTGAGTTGAAGCCTGTTTCTCCCCATCCAGACCCGCACGGCCTCCAGGCACTGGGACATCACTTCCAAGGCATCGTTGGGATGGTCTGGGGTGGAGATGTACAGCTGAGTATCATCAGCGTAGTGATGGAACTCCACCCCAAAACCACGGATGATCTCACCCAGCGGCTTCACATAAATGTTGAACAGGAGGGGCGAGAGGACCGACCCTTGTGGCACCCCACAAACAAGGCGCCTCGGGGTCGACCGCTGCCCCCCTGTCAACACGGATTGCGACCGGTCGGAGAGATAGGAGGAGAACCACCGCAAAACGGTGCCCCCCACTCCCAGTCCCTCCAGCCGGCGCAACATGATACCATGGTCGATGGTATCAAAAGCCGCTGAGAGGTCTAACAGGACCAGGATAGAGGAGTAACCCCTATCCCGAGCCCTCCAGAGATCATCCACCAACGTGACCAATGCTGTTTCCGTGCTGTACCCAGGTCTGAAACCGGACTGGAGCGGATCCAAATAGACAGCTTCATCCAGGTACTGTGGAAGCTGTCGCGCCACCACACTCTCAACAACCTTTGCAATAAAGCGAAGGTTGGAGACTGGACGATAGTTAGCTAAAACAGCCGGGGGTGGCTTCTTGAGGAGAGGCCTCACCATCGCCTCTTTCAAGGCGGCCGGCAGGACACCCTCACTCAAAGAAGTGTTGATAATTCCCTGGAGCCAGCCTCGTGTAACCTCCCGGGAAGCCAGCACCAACCAGGAGGGACACGGGTCCAATAAACATGTGGTGGCGTTCAGCCGTCCCAAGATTCTGTCCACGTCCTCGGGAGCCACAGGATCGAACTCCTCCCAGATAACATTCTCAAGGCCTGCCTCAGTCATCTCGTCTGAACTAACCCAGTCAGTGGCCAAGTTTTCCCGAATCTGAGTTATTTTATCATCCAGATACTGTACAAAATCCTCAGCTCGGCCCTGTAAGGGGTCCTCCCGTGCTCCCAGATGGAGAAGGGAGCGGGTCACCCTGAACAGGGCGGCTGGGTGGTTATCTGATGATGCGATAAGAGCGGCAAAATAGCTAGATTTCGCCGCTTTTATCGCCACTAGGTAGGTCTTAATATGAGACCTTACCAGTGTCAAGTCGGATTCGGAACGACTGGCCCTCCAACCGCTCTCTAGGCGTCTTTTCCGGCACTTCATCTCTCTCAGCTCCTCGGAGAACCAAGGAGCTAAGTGAGTTCGGTGCTGGGTCAGAGGCCGCAAAGGCACGACCCGGTCCAAAGCCCCGGCAGCCGCACTATCCCAGGCGGCCACCAGGTCATCAGCCGAGTCGTGAGCTAGAGTTTCAGGAAATGACCCAAGCTCCATCTGGAACCTATCAGGATCCATCAGGCGCCTAGGGCGGAACCACCTGGTCGGCTCCGCCTCCCTGCGACGGGGTGCGGCGGTCAGAAAGTCAAGTCGAAGGAGCGAGTGGTCAGACCATGACAAGAGTTCAGTATCTATATCCCCTATATCAAGGCCACTCAACCACTGACCAGAGACAAAAACTAAGTCCAGAGTGTGTCCCCCCATGTGAGTAGGGCCGTGAATTACTTGGGTCAGGTCCATGGCCATCATGGAAGCCATGAACTCCCGAGCTACCTCAGAAGTTTCACCAATGGATGGCAAGTTGAAATCCCCCATGACCAGAAGTCTGGGGGTATCAGCCGCCACCTCGGCTATAACATTGAGGAGTTCGGGCAGGGTCGTCGCCACGTGGCAGGGAGCCAGGTACATGATCAACAGACCCATCTGCACCCCACGACCCCACTTCACGAAAAGGGACTCACATCCGGCTATCTGAGGCACAGTGGTCTCCCTCGGATCAAGACCCTCTCTTATAATGACCGCCACCCCCCCGCCCCTGCCCTGAGCTCTCGGCTGATGAAATGCACGGAAGCCTGATGGGCACATCTCCATGAGGGGAACCCCCCCCCTCATGGCCCAACCATGATACTCTTGTCAGAGTATCCTTAATACTTTGAATTATTGACACAGTTTCTCCCCAAATTCCACTCCTTTCTTGCTGGTGGAGCATCTTGTTTAGTTTTATTTTGTCCCACTTTTATCCAATAATCCAAAAACCATATATTCAAACCTAAAGTCACTTTTCAAAAAGTTCAATATTCATGAATCTTTATATCTCCAAAGCTGATTGACCTGTTCCTCTGGATAGTCCCAAGAATTTTTCCAGAACCTTTATAAGTCCCTCTATAAATTCAGTCTTGTGTTGTAGCCTTCAGGGGTCACTTTAATAATAGTGTCTTTCTTATTCTCACTTTGAAATCTCCAATAGCCAAGTATTTCCAGGATTTTGGGAATGTGTTATGCCTTCCTTTTGTCAGCAGGTGGCACTCTTAGGTCAAATTTCAATATTAATCAGTTTTATCCAATTTTAATGGTAACAATCCAAAATATAAATATGATATTAGTTTTTTTAATAGTTCCAGCATTTTAAAATGCCTATCGAAAACAACACATGTCCAATTTAGAAATCCAATTTTCTGTATTTTTAAAGATTTTTGCCTTTCTCCCTTTGATTCTTTCAATTTTGAAATTCTTCTCAAAATGTTAAATCACTGCTTTTAAAAATAGCAGTGAGCCTCTCTTTTCCTGGATATTCTTTTGGGGTTGAGTTTTAAATAAAAAGGATTCTTCTCACCCAGTTCCAGACACCGTTCACCAACTCCACTCCAGTACAGTTCTTAGATGTTTCTTGGCTGTCCCAGCTTCATGGCAGCCATCTTTAGGCTGCCTCTTCTCCTCACCATGGCATAGAGGGAAAAAAGCCCGAGGTTCAGCAGGAGAGTTGCAATCTCTCGTGCGACCTCTCAGGGCACCCCTCCTTAGTTTTGCTGCCCCTACAAGGCAGCTTTGGCTCTTCTCTGAGCCCACAAATAGGGAGAACTCAGCACAGGGAACACGAAGACCCATTCCCTGCATCTGATATTGCCACAACATCAGCCAGAAGTCATGAGAAAGCTACTTTCTAATCTGATTTATTTTAGATTCCAGTATAATTCATATAATTATAGAACCATGCAGTTTAAAGCAGCCATTTAGGCTACAGACTCCAAACTTACTGCTCAGTTCAGGATTGCAAATTGTTAGAAGCATTCATACTCACATATAACTTCCATCCTGATTTACTAATTTGTACTCATGAGATGAAATAAGAATTTATGTAGCCCTGTTATTGGCATAAAACTACGACAACCTGAGCTGTAAATGAAGGTATGGTGTGAATGTTAACATCCTCCTAGAGGGCAAATCAACAGAAGCTTTGAGAAAATTTCTTGTAGGTTAGATAACAGAATGGTTACATAGCAGAAATAGTAAAAATGTCTATCCTGTTTGTGCACCCTTTCTCTTTCTCTTTGATAGTTATAGACAGTAATCTATTAAAATATTAAATGAATATAATTATACACGCACATACATACACACATACACATATATATATCTATTATTACTCTATAATCTGATACGCTCACTTGAATATTGGGGAATACTGGACAGGAGTCCTCAATAAGGGATGGATCATAAATGATCATGTAATTCTACTTATCAACCATTGTCTGAGTTTATTACTGAACTGGGAAACAGTATTTTTTTGAAAAATATTAAATCATTGGTTTTACTACAGAGACTTAATTGTTCATACACTTGTTCAATTTATATTGTTCCTTGCGAAAAGTAACTGTTTTTTAAAAATCTGTTTTGTTTCTTTTTCTTATTGAATTGTAGATTGAATGGTTCTTATGAGGCTTTGATTGAAGGAACTTTGACAGAAGCTTTTGAAGATTGTACTGGTGGGATCTGTGAATCGTTTCATCATAATCCAGCTCCCGCTAAATTGTATCAAATAATCCAAAAAGCTTTGCAAGCTGGTTCATTGTTGGGCTGCTTCATTGTAAGATGGTTACTTTTCTTTTTTTTAAATGTCTGTGTTTGTGTTCTTATTAAGATAGCTTTATGCAGTCCATTACAGCTTAATCTTGAGAATGTAATGAGTAAGTTGATTTGATGTTCAGTATCCTACTTGGTGTCAAAGCAGTGCAGAAAACATGACTTCTGTGTTGTTGTGCCACCAATTTCACCATTGTAATTGGTGAGGCCATTGACAAAATATCATGTGTTATGCTGCTTTCTCCACAGTGCTGCAGGATGATGGTAGTTGCAATTAAATGAAACATTAATTTAGCAAGTATTTATGCCAGATAAATTAGAGAGTTTACATGGACTTGAGTAAACTTTGGATCAGATTAATAGGAATAGAATTGTTCTCTGTAAGAGGAAGCCACATGCATTTACACAGATGAGGAATTTTCTACTTTGATCAAGATTGAATCCTCACTAGCTATTTACTGGCATTGCTGTCCTTTGTTTACTCACTATTTACAGACATTTCAGAAGATGTTGTCAGCTTGTGGGAGTCATTTATTGAGTGTGTGACCTAATGCAGATATTTTAAATCTGACAAGTTTATTTTCACAAACATACTTTGAAAAACCTGGGAAAATTGATACATGCGTAGGAGTTTCAATACACAAACTGCATTTCCCCTGATGTTTTCTGGTATAAATTGCTGCTTTTGGAAATGCTTTCTTTTATAAGAAATTGCTAGCTATGTGTAACTGTATATGTGCCTGTATGAAAAAAAAATAAGAGGATGTTACCTCTGTTACTATTTATTTTAGTCCTGCCCTGAAAAATCAGTGTGTGATAGAATCATTTGGAGCAGATTTGAATTATACAAGAACATGAAAGGCAGGGAAGATTCTCCTTTTTCCACCAGTACAGGAAGAGAGTTCAACTCCTTGCTATAATGTTAGGGTTTTGAGCAGCTCTTAGCTGAAGATTCTGGCTGGTGGATTGCTTGAATCAACATATTCTGATAATATTATGAAACTGTTTAGAATAACAAAAACATAAATACAACCACCAGCAAAATTTCAGCAAATCCACCTTTTACAATCATCCCGGCAATTCATGCATTTTTACCCTTGTGAAACAGAACACTTTCCAAATCCAAATGTTTTTCCTCTTCAATAAAAGTTGTTGTGCTACCTTTTTAGATATGCCCTATTGTCTATCAGCTTAGTTCAAGGAAATGCACCCCTTACAGGTAGTCTTTGGTTTACATCTATTCATTCAGTGATCATTCAAATTTATGACGGTATTGAAAAAAAATGGACTTACAAAAGATCCTCAATGTTGCAGCCATCACAGTGTTCCCATAGTCAAAATTTGGAAACTTAATAACCGGCCCTCATTTACAACAGTTGCAATGTCCCATGGTCACATTCTTCTGCCCTGTAGGAACTACCTCCATTTCAACTCCCCTCATCTACCATCTCCCTCTATCTCTGACCTTTTGGCTGCTCCTATATAGCATAGACACTATATTATCTATATTACACCTCTGTCACCTCCCTGCCCTCTGCCCTCAACTGACCTATGTTGTTGTCTTTGATTTGCTTCTTCTCCCCTTAGCTACCTCCACTGCTGGCTCCCTAGCCTTTAGGCTGCTAGCGAGCCTGCCCTGCTTCAGCAATCTGACTGCTGCTGGTGTGGGTTCATGCTGACAAGCTTGTCTTGCAAGGAGGATTTCATACTGGCCCATCCTGGACCTGCCTGGCACCCAGGTGCAAAAGTCCTGGCACAATCTGCAGCCTACGTCAGCTTCTGCTTCTGCTTCTCCTTCTGCTTTTCCCTACAAAGAGCCAACAACAACAAGCGTCTCCACCGGAGCTCACTGCTGGACTTTGTATTGTGATATAAGTTGAAGTGAAGGCAGTTCACAAAAGACAGGAAAAGTTTAAGATCTTCACCTAACAAACAGTCCTGGCCTAATGAATGCAATCTAGATTTCTGGGACCTCTGTTGCTAGGTGTCAGAACATAATAACACTTCTCAAATAACTAAGGACCTATTATGTAAAAGGTGGCCAACTCTTGCTCTTAGTTGTCTGCCCAACTTCACAGAAAAGATAATAAATCTGGAATCTCTAAACAAAAATTTCACTGTTTCTTGTTGAGATTGGGACACCTGTTCAATCTTTACCTGTGGATTCTTTCTGGCTTGAGATGTGATGGTTTCTGCCTCTCCAGCTCACCAGCATCCAAATGATAAGATTAGATCTAATGAAATTTTACAATTCAGTTTTACTAAGAAACATCTTAATAGGAGGAACATTTTGTTATTAAAGTCACTTCACTGAAATGGAGAGGCTTTCGTACATTGGAAAGCTTCAAATATTCTTTGGGGATGCTTAAGCTTGGGATTTCCAATTCTAAGGAGGAAGTTGGGTTAGATGATTCCCCAACTTTATGATTCTTATGACTTTCAAACAGCGTGCACTGAAATTAGAAATGTTTTGACAATAATTCTAATATGACAATAATTTTACTTTCTTCCTAGAATACCAGTGAAAAAGTGCAAAAAACAAGTAAGCAGCTGTTCTCACACCATGCTTATTCTGTTACTGGAGCAGAAGAGGTAAAGATACAAATTTTCAAAACCTAATTTGCAACAAAATTAAAACTCAGTAAAACATTTATATTTATTTTTTAGCCTGCTCCTATCCTGAAAGATTCTGGGTGGCAATTAACAAGGCACAAATCCTGGAACGATAAAATTTTTCCTTACAGGGAAAGCTGGGGTTGAGTTCAGGGAAGGAGTTTTCCCGAGTGTGGGTTACCACAGAGAATCTATCCCAACCCCTGGACTGGTATCAGGAACCAGGCTGCTCTGCTGGACAACAGCAGGCGAGCGAGTGAAGTTTCATCTGTATTTGCAGCTGCTCCCCAGTGTTATCATCGCCACCTCAGCTCTATCTCAGGACATCAGGAATTAGATTTTCATAGGAGCATGAACCCTACTATAAACTGTGCATGTGAAACATCTAGGTTGTGCACTACTTTTGAGAATCTAATACCTGATGATCTGAGTTGGAGCTGAGACAATGATGCTAGCTCTGGGGAGTGGCTGCAAATGCAGATGAAGTGTCGCTTGCTCACCTGCTGCCTGTATCCTGAAACCATCCCTCTGCCGGTCCATGGAAAAATTGTCTTCCATAAAACTAGTCTCTGGTGCCAAAAAAGGTAGAGAACTGCTGATCTAGTCAATGCCCTGCATTTTCTTCAAGGAGTAGTTTTCAATTGGCTCTATAGATGTTAAGATGGGCAGATTCAACTATAGGAAAGCACTGCTTGACCTATCTTGGGACTGTGTTTTACTTGAGTTTTAAGGGAATGGCAGTTGTCTTTTGGGTGCAATTCAAGGTCCTGGTCGTCGAGATAAAATTGGAGGCTGAGTGAAAATTATCATGCATGGCCAGATTGAGGGAAAGCTTCTTCAGGAGAGGGTGCTTTACCACCTTGTTCAAGGCAGATGGCAAACACTATTCCTTAGGAATAGTGCTGATTGTCTCTCAGGTCTGGCCTCACATGTCTAAAGGAGCCAGGAGGGATTACTATCATAAGTGGCAGAATTCAGGCTACAGAGATCTTCACTTTCTTGGATTCCAGAAGCTCAGAATTGTTCTTGTTCTTAATGAAAAACAAACAGTGCAGTGTAACTGAAGGCAGTGGGAGGGAACAGGCAATGTGTAGTATATTTCAATCCAATGACTGTATTTATGGGATTTAATAGGTTACTTACCGTGGCCACCTGGAGGAATTAATCAGAATCAGAAATCCATGGGGTGATCGTGAATGGACAGGAGCCTGGAGTGATAAGTACATTCCTATTGCTGATTTTCTCCCTTTTGTCCTGGATCATCACTGTAATATCATTTTCTTTATTAATGTTTGTCATTCTGTACAAAATATTACATAATCATATATTTATTATTATTACGATAAATAGACTTCTCATTAGTTCTCGCGTATCTTCAACAAAACATACTTGTTCTGCCCCAGCTCCGGACCCCAAAGAACGCAGCACACACAAAGCTTATTTTACTCAAATAACTCAGTCTTTTTCAACCAAAGGCTGTTAATAAACTGTCCTAACAGCCTACAAGAATCCTAAGATAAGGTAATCACAGTCTTACTAGGGTTGGCAGAATGCCCAGAAGCAATTTTGCAGAGAATCCAGACGCGAAGGAGAGTGAACTAACACTAACACTCTAACACTAATGTTCCCTACATCTTGCTGCAATCGGCATTCCTCCTTAAATAGACTAAGGGAGTGGCCAATTAGCCCCAAGCCTTACTCTCAAGGAGACCTCCTCCTGAGGAGCCACTCCTGCCTTTTGGCAGCTCTGTGTGCCCGTGCATTGAGAAGAGGCTCCTCCTCTTCGTCCTCTTCACTTAAAGGAGTTTCTGGAGGTTCTGAAGGCCCTGGCTGAATCCCTGCCTCTGGCACCACATCTTCTCCAGCCTCCTCACTGTCCGACTCGAGCGCCAGCTGCACAGGCTGCTGGCGCAGCACCACACCAGCCTCCTTGTTGTCAGAATCAGTTACAATCTGCACAGGCCACTGACCGGCCACAACAATACTTGGGAAACCATATGAATCTTACAGCTGACTTGGGCTAGAGGTTAAATTGACATATAAAATGTGCACTGACCAAGAAAGGATTTAAATGTATGCTTCTCTACTTCAATTCTGTATCAGCTATGGTTACACAATGCACTAACATCATGTGGGTTCTTTGGTTTTGGGAATACTTGGAAATGTAGACCATGTTTTAAGAAATAGACTGCTACCTGACTGCAACAGTTATCAATTATTCAACAAATCATTGTGTGAACTCAGTCATTGGGCGACTCAGCTGCCTTCTCAGGTGCAAAGGTAAACAAAACTATGCAACTCCCTGTAGGAAAGATATTCATGTAATTTTGTGGAACATTGTGCTGAAAGTGAGGACAAAAGGAATATATTATTTATCTGGTATTCTTTCTGGCCTTTTCCTGTAACTCCTCAAAAATTATATTTGAACAGTCAATCAAATGACATCCAATAAAGAAAAATGTTGTATTAGTAAATGAGCAGGGCTATTTATTAACTTATACCAGGCATCTCTTACTATATCTGGTAATAGCAAGAAACTCATTGCTAGAAGCAGAGACAGATGATAAAACAAATCTTTTTAAGAAGATTCTTCCCAAGCTCAAATAAACACAGGACCAAATTAGACATGACATTAAGGATATATTTGCATTTAATATGCTCGTAAAAAAATCAAATTAGCAGCTGCAGGGATAATTACTGGAATTGCATCAGGCAGACAGGGAGGGTTTAACTCTTTCTTTCATGTGGCTGCTTTGACAAAAGTTGCTAATCTAAAGCTTTTTTATGTTGGGGAAATCAGTCAGGTTTGCATTTTAAGACTTGCCACACACTAAATGTAAAAGAGTTGGCTCACAGTATAAAGACTGGCTTACAGGCCACAGAAATACTTTTTGCTCAGTAGCTAAATAATTGACTATATATAAAATCATCTCTGGAAGTTCTGGGACAGAATGATGGGTACTCCTGGTTGGTGACTATTTTTAGGGCACTGTTATTTTCCCAAGCACTATATTTTCTTGTATTATTATACTTCTGTTTTTAATCCTGATTTTCTTATACAGTGACCAGAGTTTTTTCAGTGATGAGGTAGCTAAAAAAAATATGAATAAACAAACATGTGGAGATTGAGTTTCAGAGCTATGTGAGTTGGCTGTCTATGCAATCAGCAATATGGGGTAAAAAAAGTATTTCCAATAAGCTGTTGGATTGGTTTCTCTTCAAATCTGATTGATGGATTTTTCACTGTATTTGATTGAGCGATTGCATCCTGCTAAATAAATAGAACCTGCATACAAGGATTTAATAGGTATATAAAGATATGTGATTCCCCGGAAATAAGCACAGGGAATGAACAAATGGAAAAACAGAAGTGTATTATTGTCCCAATTTGAAGTGGGAACTTTCCTTATAAAATAAGATGTTTTTCCTTATTAAAAAAAAGATGTTGAGACTCTAGAAAGAGTGCAAAGGCTAAAACACCATGAACAGTTGTGGGAACTGGGGATGTAATGAGGAGGGTGACATGAAAGCAGTCTTCCAATATTTGAGGGGCTATAACAGAGAAGATGTTGAATGAACAGTGAGGGTTAGAAAATGACCAGTGGCCAAACCTTATTATTTAGACTTGAATAGCCTTTTGTATAGGGGACGCGGTGGCTCAATGGCTAAGACGCTGAGCTTGTCGATCAGAAGGTTGGCAGTTCAGCGGTTTGATTCCCTTGCGCCACGTAATGGAGTGAGCTCCCATTACTTGTCCCAGCTTCTGTCAACCTAGCAGTTCGAAAGCACATAAAAAATGCAAGTAGAAAGTAGAGCCAGAAACGACTAGTATGCGTGTGCGGGGGAACCTTTACCTTTTAGCCTTTTGTATACAGTACTATTGGAATTTTGTGGTATATGATAGGTATACAATTTTTCTTCCACAAAATGCTTGTCCCTTTAAGCCCGACCAAATTACAAAACATTTATTTACCCAAAGATGAACTAGCATCCTGCATTCCACCCAGATCTCTTTAGCACAGTACTGTACCCAAAGCAAACTTGTCAATAGATATGATGCCAGTGACCAGTGCTTTGTTTTGCAATAGATCCCTATTTACTGTTTCTTAAAGAAAATTAGTTTATAAATTTCAGATGGGGTACCCACCAAGTTTTTAGAAATACATTGGTACCCATGGACACCACATTGCTTACTCTTGAAATAAAAGAAGAAGGACTAGTTCACTGCCAATGAAGAAACAGTATCCACAGAAATAAAAGAAAATCTCTGCGTACTGGAGACCTGCAATGTACATAGAATTGTTCTATTTGTTTTCCTGCCTAAAGATAAGCCTGTGTTTCCAGGAAGTGCAAACTGACATAGTTGCTAAGAGAAAAATTAAACACCTAGAAAGTTGGATAGCTACATGAATCAAAAAAGATGAAGAGTTTCTGGTCAACTGTCAGAGGAAAAAGATTTAGAAGGCATTCTGTAACACTGAAAGTAAAAACTGCTTTTAGGCTCTGGTGAAATAAGATTTTGACCCTCTTGGCAAAGTCTATAGTAGATCTTGTTGGGCAGGAGATCCAGAAGTCAAAGTCTTGAAGAAATAAGAGAAAATGTAGTGTGACTGATATTTCTGTCCCATAGGGAAGAGAAGTGGATATATGTCAAGCAGATTTTATGAAATACATTTTTTAGAGAAGGGATTGGGAAATGTAATCCTAAATGTTTCCATCATTGTGACAGCTGTTCATTCTCATGGTGACAAGCAAGGCTATGTAGCTCTAGAAGGAAACTCTAGGAAGTAAACTTTAATAACTTAAAACTAAGATGGAGATCTTAGTTATCCCCTTATCATTGGAAGAGGATTGACAAGGAATCAAAACATTCTTACAGTAAGGGAATAGAGGAGGGATGCAATAATTATGCTTGTAAAAGGAATTTCATTTTTACAACTACTGGTGACATGTTTTGGATGAGAAGTGCTATATGGAGGTGGGCTATGGTTCAGAAAGACTGGAAGAATAAATTCTCCATTGAAGCTGGAAGTGGGAAAAATAGTCAGGACTCAGGGGGATTGCATAAACCATTTGGAAGGGTGCTTTACAAAATTAATGGAAGGATCTCCCCGACTCTCTGTTTGAAGCATAAGATTAGTCTTAGCAATGATACATCTGAAAAAGTTGTAATTGAGATCACAATTGTGTGTATGCTGAATATGAATCAGTAATATGAAGCTGCCAAAAGGACAAAAGTAATTTAAAGTGGCATTAACTGAAGAACAGTTTTTAAATCATGAGAATTAAAACTTCTACTCTACTCTGCAGATTAATCCCACTTCAATAAATGTAAAAAATACCATATTTTTAAAAAAAGGATTCAGATAAAATATGAATTCACAAAAAGGCAACAAAAAATAATAAAGGCATGCTTTAGGCTTTAGGCATCGCACAGAAGATTTCACTTGATATCCTAAATGGCTGCTTCCAATCATGGATTCTTGGTCACCTTTCAAAACATTTGAAAAAAAGAAGACTGCACATTTCCTGAAAAGAAAAATCTGAGATCTAAATATGTTCACATTTTTAACCTGATATACAAGCCTAGGAACAACAAAATAGTGATTAATTATTTTAGGTGTCCACAGTAACCAAATCATCAAATGTGGTTTGTTGATTCTCATATCAGCCAGCAACATCAGACATGCAAAATTAAAAGGAAAGGCCCTTCTGCAATATACCAGTTGTGTGATTGATCTCTGATTCATGAGGATATCACACAGAATTAAGTAGCATCATTCACCTGTGCTTTTAATGAAATATCTCTGTTCTGATCAAATATGCATCCCTCATGAGCATTTCTGGGCCACTTGAACATATCTGGGAAAACACAACACTCTAAATATCTTATTTGTATATCCCATGTTGCTCAGTTGATTTTCTGCCTGTCAGAACTAATCTCTGTTAAGAAAGTACTGCTTTTGGGGATGTGCTTTAAAATACTAATACACATCCCCAATTCATATCTTACTATGTGCTCTCCTTGTTTCATTACAGTGCCCCGGAATGGAAGTATATTAATCCTAAACAAAGGAATACTCTGCATAGGCAAGCAATTGATGGAGAATTTTGGTGAGAAATATGTTTTTAGCAGTCGATAGATGAACATGCTTTAAAATATATGTAGTGATAAGAAGAAATGGAACTAAAATAGCATTAAATATACCTTCTACGGTTGCATCTTCCATTTTAAAATTGCTATTACAGTAATAAACATGGGGAGGCCTAATAGTTATCAAGCCTACATTGAAAGGAAGATACCATTCTTTTCTGCCACGCTACATTGCTGATTAAAGTCATACGCCATGTAATGGTTTTTATTAGCTTAGGAGAAAATGCACAATGACACCAAGAGAAAGTTAATAATATCTGTCCTAGTAGTGGAGTGTAGAAAAAAAATTAACAGACTCCCTCATGTATCACTATCCAAACAAAAATGAGTGCTCTCCCCTCATGCTTGGTAGTGAACAACTTTAAAATGAAACATCCAATAATGAGTTGTACCTTTAGGAACACATTAAATTATTGGTGTTTCCATGTTTTGAGGCAGCAGAGCAATGAGAGTTTCTGTGCCAGTTGCTTTTCATAGCTGGCAAGCTGCTTTCACCAGAGCAGGCCACAAATTCTACAGGCCTGCCAGTCGGTGTAATATCCACTGGGGTCCTTCTTGTTCACCATTTCAGCTCCATTCAATTATGCTTCTTTATTACTGCTTCCCTGTGGTGAATAGTTAGTCCATGTGCTCTTTAGCAATACTACGAAGAGAAAGGTGGATTTGAACAATTCATGCTCAGAGATGCCCAACAATTTGGATTCTGAAAAATCACATGGGAAGCAGATTCCGGTTGTGGGGAATGGGAAGAGGATGATATTGGTGCTTAGGACAGCCAGATGACCAGATTTATGAAGAGGGATGATTGGGAATCCATGTGGTGAGCCTACAAGTTTCAGAGCTTTATTTCTCTGCTATCTGCTGTTTATGTATAGTCATAAGAATAGTCAGAGTAGCAATATTCTAGATCAGCAATTCTTAACTTTCATATCTTAAATCCTATCAATCACTGCATGATGGAGAGGGCTCGCAACTTGGGCGTCCTCCTGGATTCACGGCTGTCTTTAGAAGAGCATTTGACGGCCGTGACTGGGAGGATTTTTCACCAGGTTCGTCTGATTCGCCAGTTGCGTCCCTTTCTGGATCAGGACTCCTTACACACGGTCACTCATGCCCTTGTCACTTCCAGCCTGGACTACTGCAACGCTCTCTACATGGGGCTCCCCTTGAGGAGCACCCGGAGGCTCCAATTGGCGCAGAGTGCGGCCATGCAGGTGGTTATGGGAGCGACATGGCATTCCCATGTAACACTTCTCCTGCGCAAGCTGCACTGGCTTCCGGTGGTCTTCCATGTGCGCTTCAAGGTCTTGGTTACCACCTTTAGAGCGCTCCATGGCTTAGGACCTGGTTATCTACAGGACCGCCTGCTGCCACCAGTAGCCTCCCACCGGCCGGTACGCTCTCATAGAGAGGGGCTCCTCCGGGTGCCGTTGGCCAAACAATGTCAACTAGCAGCCCCCAGGGGGAGAGCCTTCTCTGTGGGGGCACCTACTATCTGGAATGAGCTCCCCCCGGAGATACGGAGGATCCCGGATCTACACACCTTCCGCCGCGCTCTCAAGACCTTTTTATTCCATCAGGCTGGCCTGGCCTAATTTTTCCCTTTCCCCTTTTTAAAACGCAAATTTTAATTCGTTCTTAATTTATTGGGGTGTTTTAAATCTGTCTTCAGCCAAATTGTTTAATTCGGATTTATTCTGTTTTTAAATTTTGTATTTATGTGTTTTTATCTTGTGGCTGTTCACCGCCCTGAGTCCTTCGGGAGTAGGGCGGTATATAAATCAAATAAACTAAACTAAACTAAACTAAACTAAACTGTATCAAATAACATAAGACTCACTACAACAGAAAGGAAAGCCCATTTGTCCTGGGAAAAATGCATACGTTATTATATTTATTATGTAGAGGAAGTTTTATTAAAACTTAAAATTTCAGTGACTTTCCTGTGTTATCTAGACCAGGGGTCCTCAACTGCCAGGCCATGACCTGGCAGCTGAGTTGGAACCAGGCTGCAGCTGAGTTGGAACTGGGCTGCGCAAGTGGTGCTTGCACCCGCTACTTGCACAGAACCATTCCCTCTCAGCCACCTTCGCTGCCAGTGGGGACCGCTGATCTAGACTACTTCTAAATCCCAATTTGGTATACAAATGACCAGCTGAGGACCACAGTTTTAAAGTCACAGTGCATTCTTCTATCCTTTTCCGGTGGCAGGATGTCCTTCTCAGATTTTAAGAAGCAATTTACAAATCTTGAGATCTGCAACTTGTCTCCAGATCCTCTGGCCTGCAATCAAACTCGTAAATGGAACATGAAACTATTCCATGGAACCTGGCAAAGTGGTTCTACAGCTGGTGGCTCCCCAAATTATCCAGGTATACAATAACCAATTTTGTACTGCAGAAATCAATGCAGATTGTATTGTGATCTCCCTAGGGAAGTCACCGTGGTAATTTAAATCAATGAATGAGGTTTTGCTTTAATGATTTTACCATAGTACAAGAGATAAGAACATTGATTTCAAGGAAACCTAATTCTTTGCTTTTGCCTTGGAAATCCCCATCCATAAATAGCTGTTCCAGAGTTACTGCTTTCCTGAAATAAATGCAAGTTGTTTTTATTCCAGGGGCAATTCGTTGGTTTTTTTGGTCCAGTTTTTTAACTTTGGCCGAGTTGTAATTCTTTGTGGTCCAGTTAAGAGCAGATAGTTTGACATTCAAAGGGGAAGAGGCAGACAATATGGTTGCTGAAGTTGGCAAGAAATATGGTTACAAATAGACTGATGACCCTGTTTTTTTTTGTTTTTTTGTTTTTTTTTGAGTCCAGCAAGCAAGGGGAGAGTGTGACATGTTGCTAAGCAAATAAGAGTCTCCAACATCTCTGAAATTTATTGAATTTGGCTGAGCTGATGAGCTGGCCAATGTCCTCTAGTCATTATGAGAATAAAAGAGGAGCATGCAAAGGTTAAGCCAGTAATTCCTTAAACTTGGAAGCACATCTGGTGACACAGAGAATCTGTGTGCTGCTGAATCCTGCTGCCTGAATGTTTAGAAGGAATTCCCCAGTGCTTTATATATCTTTCTCTTTTGGCTTGAAGAAACCAGCCTGCAGTCATGGTTCATGAAGCCTTTGTATCATTGATAGGAAAACTCTTTGGGGAGGCAATGCACAATGATAGCAATAGCAATAGCAATAGCACTTAGATTTATATACCGCTTTATAGTGGTTTACAGCCCTCTCTACAGAGCCTCTTTACAGAGTCAGCATATTACTCCCAACAATTTGGGTCCTCATTTTACCCACCTCGGAAGGATGGAAGGCTAAGTCAACCTTGAGCCTGGTGGGATTTGAATTGCCAAATTGCATGCAGCCAGCAGTACTGCACTCCGAGGCTCATGATGTACAATAACTATTGAGAGCTCAAATTGCAACCTAAATTTTGGCAGTGTTTAGGTAATATAAAAGATTCACAATATAAATGTATCCTGACTCACTCCTGATTGCTCAGCGATTTTATACATTCTGGCTTTTAGGAACCTTCATACTGTTCATGTGTGCTATTTTTATTGCTTTCCATATTTGTTCTCATCTAGCAAAGTGTTTAAGTTTTATTTCTATGCCCCGTTCAGTTTGATATAATTATAATTGCAGACAAAAATTACCAATCTATAACATGTAACTTCATAGCTACATATTTCAACCATCTAGCAAAACAGTTTCATTTTTATTTATCTAATGCTAAATTAATCTCTAAATCATTTGCTATTTGGGACTCTAGCTCAAATATATAATTAAAACGAACACAACATGGTGTGTTAATTAAACATTTTAAATGATTTCAAAATGGATTATAAAAATATGATGTCAGTTGTAAAGAGCCAATCCTTGGTTAAGTCTGCTACTATAAATAAATAGTTTTAGAAAGCTTTATGGCTTTCATCATGGTATAATGATCAAATCTTTCAACCTTGGATATTTGAATATTTGCTAGAGTTTGTAAACTATTAAATGTATGAAAATGATATTATGGCACTTGGAAAAGAGAAGTCAATGGTAGAAAAAATGTCTATAATTTTAATAATGACGTTTCCATCTAAAGATAATAAAGGTTTTGGATACATTGGCTGTTTTTGCATAATATATTGGGCTAACATGGAGTTATCTAATTTATGGTTTGTTATGTGAACCAGCTGGTATGATTATGATCTATTGTGTTGTGCAAACCCAGATAACTGGATTAATTTATTAAGCCATGGTTGTATATAGTCACTTAGATACAACAGCAAGGCAGAGGGTTTGCTAAAACCCAAAGTAACTTTCTCACTGCATTATTGACCAAATACTGCCATTGAGCCAGCACTGGGCCTAGGGGATCAGATGTTTTGCCTTACCCTTCAACCTTCTACCATCCAGCCAAGTCCTAGATTATTTCTTTTTTGATTGAATGCAGCAAAGAAGGCATCAGTGGCCATGGGTGACCAGGCATTTCATTTTCACTGGGATGTGGCTGTGGGTACCTGAAGAAAGGCCACATGCAGAGAAGCCTCCCTAACTCTTTTCTAAAGTTTCATCAATACTGCCAACTTTTTGCCTTGGTGAAATGGGTGGCATAGAAATTTAATAAATAAAATAAAAGCTCTTTTGATGCTTTACAAATGAATTTTATAAAGACCCTAATAGAATCATGTGAGATTTCAGGCATGACTTGGGGCAGACAGATATCTAAGCAGAATTTTTATTTGCAAATCTAGTTCTCTATATTTCATCCACCTCTGTCAAGTTCTTCATACTCTTGGACAGAAGTGGGCAAACACAGACAAGGTAATTTGTTCAAAATCATGCTGATAGGACAAATGCACCCATTTTTCTTAAAACCACTATCATTACCTCTTTCAAAGGGGGAAAAGGTGCAAAAATGGCAGCATTGTTCCTTGACACATTGATGCAAAGGTGCTTTCAGACTTTAGACTCTAGGTAGGCTAATGCTCAATCTGATCTCATGAAATAAACAAATGTGTAAGGCACACAGTGACCACTGGAGTCCTATCACCATAGAGAAGCCCTCTCTGCATATACAGTACATGTCATCTCTTACAGTATTGGGCACTTTGCTAATATCTTGGTATCAAATGATAACGATATTCCTTTCCAGATCCCTGATCAATCATGTTGTACTTTTGTACGTAATGTGGAGCCACAATAACATATGGGCCTGGGCTTAACTGCCGTTTCAACTCTCTCTATATATATTCTATATATATTCCAGCCACATCTGAGCATTACGTCCTACAGAGTATGCCAATAATAGTCTTTTGTGGATAAATAACTGGCTGAGGTTAATAACCATAGCTGTTCTCAGTTGCTTATTGCTCCCTTAGGAAATATCTCTCAGTAGTTCAATTGGGTTTTGCTTATTGCAATAAATATATAGCACAGGACGTGGCAGAGGTGGGAGAAAGAAACATTAACTGTATAAATATAATGGTAAAGCCAAGCTGGAAATCACAATTAAGTTCACACCTAAAAGCTATTCCTGCAATTCTCGGTACAAGAGAAATTCTTTCATTTTCCCAAATCTGACAATTTTATCTGTATTTATATTTTGGTCTCTGTAGAAACATATTGGACCAACCCACAGTTTAAAATGAAATTGGAAGAGCCAGATGATGATCAGGAACCAAGTGCATCTGAGCCTTGTTGCACGATGATAGTAGGTTTGATGCAGAAAAATCGCAGACGACAGAAGATGAAGGGGGAAGATTGGCTCAACATTAGCTACTCCATTTATCAGGTTCTTGTTATTTTACTTCCTAGGATATGGGTACTTTTGCCCACAGAGCAATATTGTACAGGATTCTGGCCAACATGCCGATTAGGGTGGCTTGGGATGTGTATACCAGGACATTCTTGCTCATTTTCACAAACACATCTTTTTTCCACCAAACACACTTTTTACTTGGTGTGTCTAACTCCTGTCATTCAAGATAGAATAAAAAAAAAAGATTTGGGGGAAAAGGAGGTACAATATTCAGCTTCTCAAATACTCCAAATTGTCCCCCAGATGTATTGATTTTCAGTTCTGATAGTCCATGGTTATACTTTGGGAGATGATAGAAATTGAAATCCAACACATCTGGAGAACAGCAGATTAGAAAATGCTGTAGTATATAGGGTGACTTGTTGTATTTTATTGTCTGGCTATTTGTGATAGGGCCAACACTGCTATCTTTCAACTGATTACTTTTATGTCTTATAGATGCCCAAAGAGGTAACACCACTTTTGGAAATCTGAATCATGAAAAATGGCTACTCCTTGCCAGAACTGAATATTTTAATCATCTTCTTAAATGTTGATGCTTCTAGACTGACAATTGACTGAGTAATATATGAGGACAATTCATATTTCTTGGGAAAATATGAAATATGGTTTGTAAGCCTGTTCAGATGCGTATCCAACAGTGCAGGAAGTACAATATATAGTTAAGCAGGCAACTATTTTCCTAACCTTTCTCTCTTAAGCATATTTATTTAAGCGGAGGAAATGGGAAAAAGAAATTGATATGCTCTAGAAGCAAAAGTCAAAACTTTGCCTTATACCAATTATGCACTAACTCTGTATACTGAAACATGCCACAAAATCATGGTAGCCATATTTTGTATTATGATTATGGCAAAAAAGTATAATGCATAAACTAGCATTGAATGTTATCTGTAATTTAAATGCCTAATGCAGTACTATCTGCAGGAATGGGAGAAGGGGCACCAAAATGACAAAAAGTACCTTACTCTCATGTAATTGACCCAACTGATCTAATTTATCAAATGAGGTAAGTTATGAGGCCCTGGTAATTAATGAATATCCTAGCAGTAGATAATAGAAAATATCTTGTTTTTAAATAAATTTCATCTGGTTTGCTTGGCTGCCTTTATGAGTAGTTCCTTAGAAAACAAGCTTACTTAGTAATTTTTTAAACATTATTTTCTTTACTTTAATGTCTTTGTTCAAGGTGAGAAAGCTATTTTGTTTTATAACTCATGCATATTGTTGGAATAGACTTATATTATAAGTTACACAAAAACTCATAATCCATAAGATCAGTGATTGGATGACCATTTAAGTCAAGGGAAAGTCTGTCAGAAAAATCAGCTTTGAAAATGGCTGTTTTGACATTTTCATGAGAGAAAGTATTTCTGCAGTCTGGAAATCATCTTACATTCTTTATAAATTGGCAGTTTGTTCCCATTCATCATTCTGTAAGAAGAAAATGATTGGATGATGGTAAAGAAAAATGGTCTGGAAACAAACATTGCAGACTATTATGAGGCCAACTATATATTATTACAGCTGGCCAAAACAACACAGACAAATACCTCTCCCTCCCCCCCCCTCTCTGTAGGTCTTTGGTTATTCAGGTTTTCTCCCGCGTAAAATTGGAAGTGTCTTGGCGACATTTCGCCGAAGTCTCATTCATCATCTTCAGGCTGGTGTTTTCGGCTTCGTGCTTCTAGGAGCAATATGTGATCGCAGCTGTTTCTTCCCTTTAACTGCCAGTGGGGGTGTGAACTGATAGGGTGGGAGCTTGGCTGTGTTCTGATTGGGTGGAGGTGTGTTCTGATTGGTTGGGGGCTTGGCTGTGCTCTGATTGGATGGGGGGTTGGCTGTGCTCTGATTGGATGGGGATGTTTTCTGTTTGGGTGGGGGCTTGGTTGTGTTCGGGTTAGTCTGAGTTGCAGGGGGATTTGAGCTGGTGAGCTGCGTTGCTGTTGTTTGGCTTTGTGTTCGTGGTCATGCCACATCTTCATGGTAGGTGTCAGTTTGCTTCATGTATGGATTGGAGGGGTTTAAAGTGGCTAATGATGCAGCTGTGGTCTGGCTTCTGGTTTGTGGTCATGCCTCATCATCGGTGTGGGTTTGAGTTTGCTTTTTGCGTGGATGTGTGGTGGTGACATCTTGTGTGGTTTTCGTGAGTGTGGGTCTGGTGTCATTCTTTGTCTTAGGGACTCATTTGTCAATGAGGGTGGGTTTCCAAATGGCTGGTAGGCGGGAGGTATCATCTCATTTATTCATGCTGTGTGGGCGTTTTTCTATCTTTATGGCTTCTCTAATTATTCTGTTGTTAAAGTGTTCAGTTTGGGCGATAGTTCTGGTCTTTTTAAAGTCAATTTCATATCCTGTGACTTTAATTTTTATTTATTTATTTGATTTTTATACCGCCCTTCTCCAACAGGACTCAGGGCGGTGAACAGCCGAGATAAAACATAACATATAAAATTTAAAAGCAATTTAAAAGACATTAAATAATTTCGGCCCTCAATTTAAAACAACCCAGTTAAAACCAATTTCAAATTAAAACCAAAAGGATGGGATCAAGCCAGCCCGGCAAGATGAAATAGATGTGTTTTTAGGGCCCGACGAAAAGTCCAGAGGTCTGGTATCGTGTGTATCTCTGGGGGTAGGTCGTTTCAGAGGGCGGGTGCTGCCACAGAGAAGGCTCTCCCCCTGGGGGTCACCAGCTGACATTGTCTGGCCGACGGCACCATGAGGAGGCCCTCTCTGTGCGAGCAAACTGGCTATTGGGAGGCTATTGGTGGCAGAAGGCGGTCTTGTAGATACCCCAGCCCTAAGCCATGGAGCGCTTTAAAGGTGGTAACCAAGACCTTGAAGCCCACATGGAAGACCACCGGAAGCCAGTGCAGCTTGCGCAAGAGAGGTGTCTCATGGGAGCGCCCCGTTGCTCCCTTAATCCCCTGCACGGCCGTATTCTGGACCAACTGGAGCCTCTGGGTGCACCCCAAGGGGAGCCCCATGTAGAGAGCATTGCAGTAGTCCAGGCGGGAAGTGACGAGTGCCTGAGTGACCGTGCGTAGGGAGTCCCGATCCAGAAAGGGACGCAACTGGCATATCAGGCGGACCTGATAAAAAGCCCCCCTGGCCATGGCTGTCATATGCTCTTCTAAAGACAGCCGTGGATCCAGGAGGACGCCCCTCTCCGTGGGGGCCAGTGATTCGCCCCCAATAACCAGCGATGGCGCCAGCTGGCTATATTGGGACGCTGGAAACTACAGCCACTCGGTCTTGGAAGGGTTGAGTCGGAGCCTGTTTCTCCCCATCCAAGCCCGCACGGCCTCCAGGCACTGGGACATCACTTCAAGGGCATCGTTGGGGTGGCCTGGGGTGGAGATGTACAGCTGAGTGTCATCAGCGTACTGATGGAACTGCACCCCAAAGCCACGGATGATCTCACCCAGCGGCTTTACATAAATGTTGAACAGAAGGGGCAAGAGGACCAACCCTTGCGGCACCTCACAAACAAGGCGCCTCGGGGTTGACCGCTGTCCCCTTGCCAACACAGATTGTGACCAGTCAGAGAGGTAGGAGGAGAACCACCGCAAAACAGTGCCTCCCATCCCCAACCCCTCCAACCGGTGCAACATGATACCATGGTCGATGGTATCAAAAGCCGCTGAGAGATCTTACAGGACTAGGATAGAGGAACAACCCCTATCCCGATCTCTCCAGAGATCATCCACCAATGCGACCAGTGCCCTTTCCATGCTGTGCCCAGGCCTGAAGACGGACTGGAGTGGATCTAGATAGACAGCTTCAGATCCAGGTACTGTGGAAGCTTCCGCACCACCACACTCTCAACAACCTTCGCAATAAAACGAAGGTTGGAGACTGGACGATAGTTGGCCAAAACAGCCGGATCCAGAGAGGGCTTCTTGAGGAGGGGCCTCACCACCGCTTCTTTCAAAGTAGCTGGTAGGACACCCTTGCTCAAAGAAGCGTTAATAATCCTCTGGAGCCAGCCTCGTGTAACCTCCCGGGAAGCCAGCACCAACCAGGAGCGACACGGGTCCAATAAACATGTGGTCACGTTCAGCCGTCCCAGAATCCTGTCCACGTCCTTGGGAGCCACAGGATCAAACTCCTCCCAGATAACACTCTCAAGACCTGCCTCAATCATCCCGTCCAGACTTACCCAGTCAGAGGCCAGGCCTGAGCAATCTGAGCAATCTTGTCATACAGATACTGTACAAAATCCTCAGCTCGACCCTGCAAGGGATCATCCTGCGCTCCCAGATGGAGGAGGGAGCGGCTCACCCTAAACAGGGCGGCTGGGCGATTATCTGATGGTGCAATAAGGGTGGCAAAATAGCTAGATTTTGCCGCTTTTATCACCACTAGGTAGGTCTTAATATTAGACCCCACCAGTATTTGGTCGGATTTGGAACGGCTGGTCCTCCAACCGCTCTCCAGGCATCTTTTCCGGCGCTTCATCTCCCTCAGCTCCTCGGAGAACCAAGGAGCTAGGTGAGTTCGGTGCCAGGTCAGAGGCCACAAAGGCACAACGCGGTCCAAAGCCCCGGCGGCCACACTGTCCCAGGTGGCCACCAGGTCTTCAGCTGAGTCATGAGCCAGAGTCTCAGGAAATGGCCCAAGCTCCATCTGGAACCTATCAGGATCCATCAGGCACCTGGGGTGGAATCACCTAGTCGGTCCCGCCTCCCTGCGGCAGGGTGTAGCGGTTAGAAAGTCAAGTCGAAGGAGCGAGTGGTCAGACCATGACAAGGGTTCGATGACTATATCCCCTGTATCAAGGCCACTCGACCACTGACCAGAGATAAAAACTAAGTCCAGAGTGTGCCCGCCCGTGTGAGTAGGGCCATGAATTAACTGAGTCAGGTCCATGGCCATCATGGAAGCCATGAACTCCCGAGCCACCTCAGACATTTCACCAATGGATGGCAGGTTGAAATCCCCCATGATAAAAAGTATGGGGGTATCAACCGCCACCTCGGCTATGACGTTGAGCAGTTCAGGCAGGGCCGTTGCCACGTGGCAGGGAGCCAGGTATGTGATCAACAAGCCCATCTGCACTCCACGCCTCACTTCACAAGAAGGGACTCGTATCCGGCTATCTGTGGAACAGTGGTCTCCCTCGGATCAAGACCTTCCTTTATAATAACCACCACCACCCCACCCCTGCCCTGAGCTCTCGGCTGGTGGAATGCACGGAAGCCTGGTGGGCACATATCTACAAGGGGAACTCCCCCCTCTGACCCAACCAGGTCTCCATAATACCTGCCAGGTCCGCTCTCCCCTCCTGAATAAGATTTAAGGTGTTGGACCAGGGAAGAAGTTGGTTCCTCTTTTCTGACTGAGTTCTTGTGTTCTTCAATGCGTGCACTTATTCTTCTGTTGGTTTGTCCGATGTATGTGGTGCATGGGATTTCATATACTCCTTGATTTTCTAACTCAATTTT